AAGGTTAATAGGTAAAAATGCCTCATATGTATTTGGTAAATATGATGGGTACTCAGTAAGCATTTAAAATAAACTCTAGGTCTTTGGGTATGTCATACTTGCCTTATTTTTATGAACAAACCATACTGTTTATGGTATTCATATCCTATAAACCATAGAAGGTTTGAGATAAGAGTGAGGGGGACCTCATGTTTCTTTGTGGTCTGTTAGTAGGCGTTTAATTGTGGACAAGTTATTCAGTCTCTCCTTGCCCAGTTTTTTTTTTTTTTTTTTGCCAATTGGAATATTAGCATGTGTTTGTCCTATTAAGAAGGCAAGCAGATGTAAAAAATGCTCATGAAAATTTCAAGTGATATGCAAATTTAAGTGAATAAGTTTTACTAGCTTTTTTCCACAGAAACATTTTAATAGTTCTTTTGTGTATTAACTTTTATGCTAATATCCCCACTTTTTTGAACTTTGTGAATTTGGATGATGTGGACTATGGACTAATATCAGATTTATGTAGGTTTTTATCGGAGGACTAAAAAGGTTTAAGGACGAGTAGATCACTGATGTGAACATTGGACTAGATTTTCACTCCTCTCCCCTCTATCTTCCCCCTTCTTTCCTGGCCTGCCTGCAGCCCCTGGCCCTGTCCACTCAGGCAGGCTGGTCATCAGGAACACACGCAAATTCTCACACTTAACCCGAGCTCTGCCTGAGATTTTACTTCTGTCCCATGCTGAGTAACATGCATGTAAACGCCAGTGCAGCATAAACACATGTAATAGACTGCATGTGTGAACCCAGCAGAGCATCAGGATGTCGCCCCCAGGGATCCTTTCTGTCCAGCATGCTGCCCTTCACATCTCTTAGTCACCGTTGGACTTGCTCCGCTTCATGCCTTCTGCCAGTTTTCCATTTAGTAGTTGCTTTTTCTTGTTACTCTTTTGCAGGGGTTCTTAGAATGTTCTGGATGCTGGCTCTGGCCATTGGCAGTATGGCGTGTATCTTCTCCCAGACCGTGGCTTCCCTCTTCCCTTTCTTTGTGAGGTTCTTTGATCAACAGAAGTTCTCATTTGGAATATAGTTGGCTTTAGCGGTTTTATAGTTTGTGTTTAGTATTTTTTCAATCCTATTTAAGACTCCCTTCCCCCAACTCCAAGGTCATAGGCAATTCTCCTTTATTGTCTGCTGAAACTTTTAAAGTTCGGCCTTTTGCATTGCATCCGTAGCCCACATGTGTGAGGTGGGGGACTGAGAGCATTTTTGCTCTTGGATAACCTGTTGTCTTAGGCCCAGCAACTGACTGGTCCCTCCTTGCCCCCAGCTGGAGAAGCTGCTGCTGTCACTTGTCACGCTTTCAAGTCTGCCAGCATCTATTTCTGGGCTGTCCTGAGCCCCAAATGCTGCCTCTAGTCATGTGCTTTAAGGAATAGTCCAGGACAGGCACAGACTGTTTTGTTGTAGCGCTATACTTGGAAGCAGTGTTGGTAGTATAGAGCGGGATGCGTTCCACATGTTCTAGTGGCCCAAGTTGAGTTGCACTGCTGTGAGTGAGCGCAGCAGTACATGGAAATATTCTGCAGCCGAGAAAGATATACTCACTAATATGGAAGGGTGTTGACAGTGTATCATAACAAAAAATAGGAAGTTCAAGTACGGTATGTGCACTGTGATCCCATGTTTATAAAAAGTTAAGAAACATGTGGGTTAAAAAACCCCACCTGCCATCTTTGCTTCCTTCCATCCCGGTCACATATGGTGTGCTGTGCTCTGGCTTCGCCCTGGCAGGTCCTCCTCCGACTCCTCCCACTTGGCATCATGAGTGTGGCCTCCTGGGGGCTTTCTCCTTGCCCCTGGCCTTGTGCCCACTTTCTTCTATCCTCCCTTTGGGTTCCTGCCTCTCTGTACCCAAGCTTGGTGTCCCGGGGTTCCTGGTCCCCTGTGCCTGCCCTCCTGCTCCTTTTCCATATGGGTCTTACCAAGGCATCTCCTCTGTTAAACCTTCTCTCACACCCTGACCTCATATCCGCTGCCGTCTCTCTGCTCAGCTCCCCCTGGCATGCTTGAGGACCTCGTGGGCATGCCCCAAACGAAGCTCCCAGCCTCCCCCATGAAACCAGAGTCCTCCTCGCCTCCATCCGTGGTGGCCTTCTTCCCAGGCACCCCAAGCACTCTCATGTCTGTGTCCCTGTCTCCCTCCCAGAGGCTCAGTGTTGCTGGCTGCCCTCTTATAAAAGTTTCTGGACTGTTCTGCATGCCTCTAGGTTTCCCTCTTCCTTTCCTCCGTACTGCGGCCAAAACCATCTTTGCAAAGGTGTACCCGAGGACCTGAGACCCACAGGCCTGGCTGTCAGTGATCTGGGCATGTTTGACCAGGACTTGAGGGGCCTGCGCTTGCCTTTCCCTGCCCACTGGTTTGAAGCCTTTTTTTTCCCCTGAAGATTTTATTTATTTCTTAGAGAGACAGCACGAGCCCACAAGCCCGAGGGACAGAGAATCTCAAGCAGACTGTGCTGAGCGCAGAGCCCGATGCAGGGCTTGATCCCATGACACTGAGATCACGACCTGAGCAGAAACCAAGAGTTGGATGCTTAACTGACTGCGCCACCCAGGTGCCCCTGGTTTGAAGCCTTTTTAAGGTCATCTCCAGAGCTGCCTTCCTCAGTCCTTTGTTCCTGAGCAGGATGACTAAAGATTTGAGCTGCGCTCCCCCCCCCCCCAGCAGGTGCCCAGGCAGTCTCGCCTGTGGGCCAGGTGCTCTCTGTCTGCTCACCGTGGGTGGCTGTGGCACCCAGGGCCACGCTTAGACTGCCGGTTTCATCCCTGGAGTCCAGCTTGGGGATTTACTTCCTCTCTCGAGGTGGGCGTCGGGCTCACTTTCCCACTCTGATTCTCAGTGCCTGCGTGTGTTTCGAATCTGTCCTTTCTTATTTCCAGTGGTAATGAAGGTACCCTGGATTGCTTGAAGGACAGAGTGGGCCGTTCTGTTTGTGCAAAGAACTTGACAAAATGGTTCTAAGAGCCTGGCCGCCCAGCATGTCCTGATCGAGCTGTGCTTGAGTCTGGGTTTTTGACTTCTGGTTCTCTGCTCCATTGGGCACAAGGAGGAGCCCTGCCAGCTGAGCAGTGTTTCCTGTGGGTGCCATTTACAAGCTGCCAAATGCAAAACACAGCAGATTATTCAGGGGTGTTATTTTCTTGACCACTTTTAGTTCATTGCTTTTGACTGAGTGTTTAAAAATATTCTGCAGCATATCTATAGTATTCTCGAGCAGCGAATCAGGAGAAGAAACGCAGTTTCTGAGAAAGCTTCAGAGAAATACTGGTCTTTATCTTTTCCCCAGCCTTTTCCGCTGAAACCCACCAGAGTCTTTTTCTGAGTGCTCTTGTTCTATAAATAGAACAGCGGCCCTCCTTGGTTAGCCCAAGATCGCAGCGCTCATCCGCTTTCTGAACGATTTGTGTGTGTGTGGTGGAGTGGATTGTATTTTAATTTTGCTTTTCTTTTATGTGTGAGATGTGTGGTGGGAGATGCAAGAAAAAATACTCTAGCGTTTATTCTTTAAAGATAACTTATTATAACTCTTCTGGGTCTGGGCTTGTTGGTTTTGTTGTCTTTTTTTTTTAATTTGCATTTAGGAAGGAGATGGAAGTGGTGACTTCCCGTGCAGAGGTAAGGAAGACGCGTGGGGGCGAGGAGAGGTGCCTACGCCTGTGAGCGAGTCCTGTGAAGTCAAGCAGGAGAGGCTGTCCCGGAGCGCGGTGCGGGCGCCTGTGGGTCTGCATCGCTGTGCGCAGACGTAGCTGTTCTGGGTCTCCGAAGAGCACGTTGCCATGAGTGTCCACGTGTACGTGGCTCCGAAAAGAATGTTAGGAAACAACCTGCTAGTCCTTCTGTATGGGGGATGGTTTCTACCTGCAGCTCCTGGGATCCGAGGGCGTGCGTTCTCTCTGGCTCGACACAGTTCCCGCCCTTGCGAACAGCAGTGCCTTCGTTTAGTTAAGGATGGCAGTTTCAGATTCTGTGACTGTAGTTGCATGTCTGTTCCTTTGATCATTGGGTGAGGTTGTGGTCTTCTCTCTGCTGCTGGCACTCTTTAATTACCTGGGAGAGTGGGTGGGTGATGTCCTCAGAAGTAGGGGGGGAGTCATGTGCCACAGAACGAGGAGGGAGATTCCTCAGTAGTTCTTCTCCTGGGAGTTGGAGAAGGTTGCTGTTTGTACTGCGAGGCCGGCCGGCCAGCACAGCTCCCGTGACACCTGGCCCACGGTCACGAGCTGGCCTGTGCGGCTCCCCCTGTCTGGGAAGCTGCCCGAGAGGCGTCCTGTGGCGGGGACAAGGAGGGGAGTGGCGGCCCGCACTCCCGGGTCCCCCCCTGGCCCCCTGGGTGCTGTGCGGCTCAGGTCAGGGTCCCGGTGTGTGGCCCCGTGTTGGTGGTGTGTGTGGGACCAGGGGCGTTCTTCGGCGTTCTTCTCAGGGTGGGGGTTAGCTGCATCCCGAGTTCCCTCCCTGCTCTGTTTGGAGTTGGCTGGTGGAGGGACCAGACCGCACTGGTGTTCTCCTCTTGCCTTCTGACGTGTTTGGGTTAAGTGAGGTTTCTGTGTCTGGTTTCATCTTATGTCGTCTTCAGTGGCCACAGGTCCCCAAGTGCTTTGGACAGATACTTTCTTTAAAAAGTTACTTAAAGTGCAAAGCTGTATGGGATTAGGTAATTCATCTAAAACATCTCTGAACCGGTATTGGTGTATTGGAGCAGAGTTGTTGTGCATTCTGCCTGATTCCACAGTGAGACTTCTTGTACAATGGCCATTTCTGGCAGCTGGGGAAAAAGAAGTATGCACGTGCCGAGAACCAGGCTCTTGTTTCAGGCACGTTGTTTATTCATTTTGCTCTTCGTGGCTCCCAGTGGTTCAGATGTCTAATGATCAAGTAGTTCTTTGAGCATTTCACTCTGAGTGTCCTGCAGGGCTCCCTTGTCCTATTAGACCAGCCCCCGGGACAGCACAAGAGGGCAAACAGCTCCAGGAGAAGCCATGTCCCTTCGTGGCTTTTATTGAGCCAAGGTGAGTGGACTGGACTGCTGTCCACCGCAGCTGTTAAGGGAAGGAACTCCAGTTTCATGGTGGACTGATCAGATTTATGGGATGAGAGGAGTTTCAGTGACTTTGGTTGTGGCAGTTCTCTCTGACAGTTTGGGCAGAGGCACATGCCTAGCTTGTGAATGGGGTGAGGGTTGAGTGGGGTGCAGGCCTGGAGCTGCGCTGAACCCCATAGCAACCTACGTCGACAGTTTTGGCAGCAGGATCCTGAGAAATGGCAGGAGGCCAGAGAACACGGAGACGGGGCCAAGAATAGCTGAAAAATACCAAATGCTGAAGTTAGAGAATGCTCTGGCCCCTTGCTGCTTACTGTGGCCCTGCGAGTCTTCTTGTCCCCTTCTGTGGATCCCCTGGGCATGGCCAGGCACACCGTGGGCCCCTGACACCCTCACTGCTCAGGCACGCCATAGTGCCTCAGAGAATTGTGTAGCCCTCCCGGGCAGCGCGCTTGGCCTGTCCAGAGGCCAGGGTCTAGGGAGAGCGTGACAAGTACTTCAGTCAGGCCCCTGGCCTACGCACACGCACTGGCCCGTCTGTGCGGTTCCACGGGATGGGCTCGAGGGCACCGTGCAGACGCTTGCTCATGGATCATTTCTGTGCTTTCAGACCGTCATCAAGGAGGGGATGCTGACCAAACAGAACAATTCATTCCAGCGATCAAAAAGGAGATACTTTAAGCTGCGGGGGCGAACGCTGTACTACGCAAAAACGGCAAAGGTGAGGTGCTGTGGAGACCACTTGAGAACAGACTCGGGAGGGGCCGCAGGGGAGAGCTTCCCTACCGAGTCCGCATCCTGGGACAAACCTCCACTGCTTACAGCTGTTATTTCCAGCGAGTTTGGTAATACTCCAGGGTGCTAGCTTTAATTTGTCTCAAGGCATGTTTTATTTCTTATAAACTCTGGCTTTTACTCACTTTTCTTTTCCTTAATGTCCTATGTCACCATTGGGGAAAGGGGGAAATGTCGCAGAAATAATCAAATTACAGTTAAAGATCTTTCTTTTGGAAGAATTGGGGGTCACAGGCTTATACATTTCTTATGGGCTAAAATATCTTTTTTTTTTCTTTAAAAGCTCTTTATTGACAAATGCTTTTAAAGAAATTGTCAATTTATAATTGACAAGCAAAAAGCTATAGATATTTAATGTATACAACTTAATGAGTTTGGAGATAAGTAGTACATACGTGTGAAACTACTTGAAGCTGTTTTTGGAGCGTATTGGGCTTGTTGGTGTGTGAACAGAACGGTGAAGTTCTGTCTCGAGGCCTCTAGCCGAGCTCCTCCTTCCCCTGTGCCCGCTTGTGCGTGAGCTTTGCAGCGAGAGTCACCGGGCTCGAGTGGAAGACAAGGAGCCACTGAAAGCCACTGAATTCCGTTGTGTTTAAGCAAATGTGTGTTTGTAAAGCTAGTTTTTGGTGTTCTGAATACCAGTATTTTATCGGTTATTGTTGTCAATACTGATATTTTGGTATTAAAATGTAAATGATTCAGATTCCAGATTTTTTTTTGAGATGTATCCGTAGAGAGTGCATTAAAATTTGAAATTGAACAGAGCAACTTGTTTAGAGAGGGTTCTGACCACATCCCTCATTAAAAAAAAGAAACCAAAAAAACAAAAAACCGCTTATAGTTATTTTAGTTCTGTGTGTGTGTGGGGAGAGATTTTGGGGGAGGAGGTTTGTTACTTTAAAAGGGTGAGTCTCTTTTTAAGTCATTAGCATTTCCTCCAGGTGTTCCCAATGGAATCCTCTTAGAGGGGACAGTAAGGTAAACAGGAGATGGGCACTGTGGGGATTTGGGGGGAGAGTGGAGAGGAAATAGGTTGGGGGGAAGGTCCCCAGTGTAATTCCCAGTGCTCCTTCTGGAGCCTGGCTGTCTCCCTCTCCAGGACTAGATTCCTTCTGGTCTGCTCCTTTGGTTTTTTTCATGGCCAGATCCCTTCTATTTGGGTTGGTCTCTCTTCCTAGAATCATTGATTTTAGCCAGGACCTTTCCCCCTAAGTGTGCCAGCTGGAAGGACAGAGGATCCTCAGGCTGGAGCCCTGCTCCCTCAGGTGGACTCTGTGTGAGGGCATGTTTCACATATAAAAGTGAAATGCTGATTACAAAAAATAAATACGGAAATCACAGTGGTTTTTTGTTTTGTTTTGTTTTTCTCCACTAATGCAATCACTCATGAACTCCTGGCTTAAAAAACACTCAGAGGTCTACCTGTGAGCTCTGTGCTCTTGGTTAGAAGCAGGTAGGGTGGACGCAGTCCATGTAGTTATCAAGTGCTCAAGTCCCGAGGTGCTTGGCATTGTGGGTGCTTGGCTGCGGGTGAGGGAGAGTGGCTGGGCCAGGGGCCTTGGCCCCGCACTGACCGTGGTGCCCGTGTCTCTCTCCAGTCAATCATATTTGATGAGGTGGACCTGACAGACGCCAGCGTGGCTGAATCCAGCACCAAGAACGTCAACAACAGTTTCACGGTGAGACTCTGGACCACACCTTTATTGATTCCTCACCACATTTTGCTTTCCTTTTTAATTTGAACAAGTGTGTGTGAGCAGTTCAGACCTTTTTATTTTTATTTTTTTCTGATTGGAACACTTCCTGGCAAATTTTGAATTTAATGTTGGAAATAATAGAATGGTTGGAGAAAAACTGAGAATTTGGCACATGTAAGCTCAAGTGAACAAGAGGGTCCAAGTGAATTTTTTAACATGTTGTTTACATTTCTCTAACAGTTTTGCACAGAGGTTTGTTTTTTATGATTATTGTAGAAAATTTGGAAAACATAGGAAAATATGTCGAAACAACCATGATTCAGCTACCTCAAAACACATGCTGTTGATATTTTGACATTTTGGTGTGTTTCGTTACATTTAAACTGTTTCCCTCCCTACCCCCAAATTTATAGAAGGTACACTGTACTTTTTGCGAAAGTTCCAAATGCCTAAAATCATGTGACCTCACCACCCAGAGGTAGCCAACTGCTCACTCTAGAGTGTTCATCTTTATTTCTAAATACCTGTGCCTTCCCCCTCATACACCATGAGATTGTTGTGATCCTTTTATTTTATACCTGTTTTTTTTTTTTTTTTTTCCTCTTGACAATTTATGGTGGACATTTTCCCATGTCAGTTGATCAAATGTACCTCATATTTTTTAATGGCTATATAGATAGCATTTCTGGTATGACTACAATTTTGGGTTCAGGGGCCGACTTTAAAATCTGTCTGTATTGAGTGTGATTCTAATGGCAGGAATGGGATATTTAAATGTATGTTTCTCTGTATTATTAAGCCAGCCAGTCTAGAAGCAAAGTATGCTCCCTGATTTTTTTTTTTTTTTTCCAATTCTTTTATAACTCAGTCAAAGTGGGTAATTTTCTTTACATTTAGGATCTGACATTTTGGGTTAGTGTTAGTTTCAGATACTTTCAGGTTTTGTTTTATTTATTAATGGGCTGATTATTGATGTTGCTGATGTGAATGGGATTTTCCTTCCTCCATTTAGACTTCTACTTGTTTTGATATAACTAACTACTTGGTTTTGGTTCATGGCTTATCGAATTAGTCAGACTTTCCTGATGGTCTCTCTTATTCTTTGTTTTACTTGGAATATTTTTATTTTTACTCCATTAATTTTATTGTTTACTTACTGGCTAGGGAGAGACTTTTAAAACTATAAGTGGATTATTTTGTGATTTGTGGCTTTTAGACTTTTTAATAGGAATAGGTATTTTATTGGGGTGTTTTTGAGCATTAATTTAGTTTATTGTGTTGGTTTTAGGTATTTGTGCATTTCCTAATAATAAATTGTTCTTGGTAATGTTAAATTTTGCAGCCCAATTTTGTGTTTAGAATGTTCCTATCTAATGTGTATGGATGGACATTTTCTTTGGGGCAGGAGGTAACTTTTGTTGTGTTTTGATCTCAGAGTTATACTACTCTCATAAAATTCACTTAGTAACTTTCCATGACTTTATGTGTTCCGGAACACTTTATAAAGCTTTAGAATTGATCGTTTCTTGAAAGTATGAGAGAACTTACTTTAAATTCTCTGTCATAAAGACTAGTCAGAGAGTGGTCGCCTGGGTGGCTCAGTTGGTTAAGTGTCTGCCTTTGGCTCCAGTTATGATCCAGGGTCCCAGAGCCCAGCATCGGGCTCCCTGCTCTGCGGGGAGCGTGCTTCTCCCTCTCCCTCTGCCTGCCGCTCCCCCTGCTTGTGCTCTCTCTCTCTCTCTCTGTCAAATAAATAAATCTTAAAAAAAAAACAAAACACGAAAAGCCTTAAAAAAAAAAAGACTCTTTAGGGGAGGTAAGGCTGTGAAAAGTTTTATTTTCACTTTCTGATCATTTGAGCTTTTTTACTTCTTGACTCCATTTTTATAATTTACTTTCCCACTTATCCCACCTTTAAATTTAGTAGCTCGGATTATTTGCACTTTAAACCTCAGTGTCTCTGGTTATATCCCTTTTGCATTTCTAATATTATTTGTTTAGCTTTTGTTTTTCTTGTCAGATTTCTTAAACTCCATCCCTTTTGTTGTTTTTGTAAGAGAACCAGTTCTTGGATTATTGATCAGTTCCATTTTTCTGGTACCTAATTCAATTTCTGCATTTATATTTATTGTCTCTTTTTTGCTTTTCACAACTTTTAAAAACAACTTACTGATTAGCTTATTCTTCTGTTGTGTGTGTGTGTATATAATCATACTGACAATAAAATTATATAATGAAAATATGAGGGACTCTGAATTGAACTCTGAGTGCCTTTCTGTTCACATTCCAAAAGTTGTTTTTTTCTCCTGGTAGAAAAGTGTTACTAGAGTCAAATTACTGATCATTCAAGTTATTAAGGAAAATTTTGAACTATATAAATATAAATAGGAAATTTAAAACCATCCATATTCCTATTACCCAAAGATACCTGGTAATATATTTTGGTTGATGTCATCCCACAAATACATTTTATAAAATATGGTTTTTAACCTTCTTTCTTTAACAATGAGCTTTTCCTCTCAACCTTTAAAATCTTGTTTACTGATGCTACATAGTATTCTAACATATAAATTGTAAGTTTATTTAAGCAGTTCCTATTATAGTGAATGTTACATTTTTTTCCTATCATAAATAATATTGTGATATACACTTGTACACAGATCCTTTGGTGCATTTCTGATTATTTCTATAAATTCTTAGAAATGGAATTCCAACAAAAAAAGAAAAAAAAGAAAAAAAAAAGAAATGGAATTCCATTTGAGGTACAAAGTATGAACTTTTAAAAGGCTTTTGACAAATAAATGAGGTACTGAATACATGTTACAGCTTGTATGAGCCTTGAAAACATGATGCTGAGTGAAAGAAGCCAGACACAAAAGGCCACATATCTTACTATTCCATTGATATGAAATGTCACAATAGGCAAATCTGTAGAGACAGAAAGTAGATTAGTGGCTGGGAGGGGGTGTGGAGGAGGGGGGAATGACTGCCGGAGATACAGATTTTTTTGAGGGGATGACAGAATATTCTAGAATTACATACAGGTAGTGGTTGCAGAACTTTGTGAGTATGCTAAAACACACTGAATTGTATACTTTAAAAGGGTGAATTGTGGGGCGCCTGGGTGGCCCAGTCATTAAGCGCCTGCCTTCGGCTCAGGTCATGATCCCAGGGTCCTGGGATCGAGCCCTGCATCGGGCTCCCTGCTCTGTGGGAAGCCTGCTTCTCCCTCTCCCACTCCCCCTGCTTGTGTTTCCTCTCTCACTGTTTCTCTCTGTCAAATAAATAAAATCTTAAAAAAAAAAGGGTGAATTGTGCGGGAATTGTTTCTCAGTAAAAATAAAATGGAAGAAATAGGATGGTACTATGCTTTTGGTACTATATGAGTTAATATGGAGCTTTGTCAGCTGGATCTGAGAATGAACCCTGATTCATACATTGTCTCTATGGGAAAATGTGTTCTGACTGACAAACACTTGACTTCCAGATGTAGATCCTGTCTGCGTTGGAGAGACCTCTGGAACTCCATCTCTGTCAGGTAGTCATGGATAATTCCCAGCCTTCAGGACAGAGGCACCAAGTCTTTTACATTTATTTTCCATTTCGTTACTGCTTTAAAAACTGCCTTTTCATCTGAGGATGTGCTGAAAGGACCAGAGAAAGATTAATACTAAGGTTCCCCAGTAACATTCCAAGATAAGGAAGCTCATCCCATGAGTGATTCATGATGGCATGTGGAATATAGAGATAAATGGGGAGAGCTTGCGGTCCAGTTCCCCCCAGTCATGCTTCTGTAGGGAGTCTGACAGTTCTGGGGCTGCGGGTGATAGAAATATTTTCTTTGCTTAAAATTCACACTTAATGATTATCCCTCTTTCTAACCCCCTGCGGTGTTTACTGTCTGAACTCTGAACCAGTTGCGTACCATACAGCGAACTGCCAGAGTCTCTATGTGGTCTCTCTTCCATCGGCTGGGCCCTCGTGGACTTTGCCAGTGCCTGGCGCACATGGTCAAGGCACAAGAGCAGAATGAACAAATGTATTTGCCCAGAAGCTGTGACATTTCCTGGAACATCTCATTTGGTTTTCCAACTATTCCAGTAGTAATTTCCCATTTTCACAATTTCTACTAAAATTGCATGCCTGATACAAACAACGAGTCAATGAAAGCTGCTGCTATCATGAATCAGTTAATGGTTGGGAACCTTTTGTAGCTGGAGAAGCAGGAGTAAATTCCCTCCACAGTGCAAAAGGCTCCATTTTTATTCCTCCTCCACATGGCCAGAGAACCGCACTGTAGAGAAATTGGGACCCGTGGGACAAGAGACTTCAAGGGAGATATTTGGGGAGAGGAGAGATTTTTTAGACAGGCTGGGTGGAAGAGGTGGAACAAGCGAGACTTATGTAACTAGACAGGGGTCTGCTTGTCCTCCTAGTCTTTAAGAACAAAGCGAAGCTGAGATGAAGCTAAAGACATAAGGACTGCCTTTAGAATCTTCATAGGTGGTACGGTGGTGGTGGGAGCTTTCAGAAGATGGGGAGTAGAGCTGACAGTGTCCTCTGCCTTCTCACCTTCAAGTGGGGCCGCCCCTCACAAGGCCAAAAACAAAGTGGCATGAAGAAGAAAAGGGGATTTGCCAACTTTAGATCCCAACTTCTGTAATAATGTGAAATTGTCTGTTTTTGATGATTGAACATGTTAATACTAATCAGTGAAAACTTAAAGACTTTCAGAGACGTCATTGCCCACTTGCCCTTAGAACTTATGTCAACAGGACTTCATGAAAGTTCTCTTTTTCTGTCCTTTTACAAACACCACGTGTTAGCATTTTAGAATATCTTTGCCACTTGGATAGTTTAAAAATGGTAATTTGTTTTGATTTGTTTCTTTGACTGTCAAAGTGACGTTGAACATTGGCCATTGAATTTTTCTTTTGATGATTTCTTCCTGTGCTTTCAGATAGTTAGCACTGTATTTTTAGGG